CTCACCTGGGCTGCCAGTCAAAGCTCMTGGACTGGGTTTTGCTGTCATCTCCAATTGCGTGTCCATGGCAGGTAATGTAATATAAACAGAAATTCCCCTTATGGCAGGTAGAGCTTCCTTCCACTCATTTCCATGGCAATCAGATGAGGGAACAGCTCTATTTTCAGTGAGACTCAGGGCACCCATGCCAGCCAAAAGCAATGATTTTGGGGCTGGCTCCAGCAGCGAGGCAGCTGTTACCTTCCTTTTACCTATTCTTTGGATCCAAACCTAATTGCAAATTGACATGAGCCATCTTTGGGGAGCTGCTGCTCCATCAGCACAATGAGCCATTGTTGAAATGGCCGCAGCAATTTTCCAGGTTAATTTATGGCCGCCACACCCCATTAGCGGCAATAAACGTGGAGCCCGGTTTTGCCGAAATTGTGAGTTACGATTTTTCAAATAAATACATTTTCCTATAAACCAGCTCTCTGTTTAGTTTGAATGTTCCTCACAGACACATCCATCTACATAAAATACACAGGAGAGGAAGCTGAGCTGTGACTTTGCTCTGATGACATAAAAACTTTCGTAAACACAGTGTCACTTACAGTACAAGCAAAGAGAGAGCCCAAAAAATAAACAGCGAGTGCCTGGCCCAGCCCTTCAGGAGCACACGGAAAATTTAATACTTTTTTTCCGTAAAGCTTTGTTTTCCTTTTGATTTATCCACGCAAGGCWGTGGCTGTTTGGCCATAAATAGATGGTATTTCTTGAGGGGCAATGGTTGCAGTAGTCCTGTGTGTCGCCATAGGGGTGGCACGGGAGGTGTGGGGACAGAGAAGATGCTGTGGTTGCTACTGAGAGCAGGAACATCCAGACTGTGCTCAGCCCCAACTCCTCCTGCTCCTTCAGTGGGGTTTGAGAGACTGAATCTCACTGGGAGCTGCTCCCGTGGTGCTGATGTGGGATCAAGCAGTGCAGTGGTGCAGTCTAGGAGACTTGGGTGGTTTGTGAGCACAGGAGAGCATGAGCATCAGCAAGCCTGAGCTCTGCTGCACCCCAGCACCCCCCAGCCCTTAGAGACCCCTCCTGGTGCAGCAGGACACGTGTGGCAAACCTTGCTGGGGTGAGGGATGCCCTGAGTGGGCTTCTGTAGCCCAGCCTTGGCTGTGACCCCAGGGCTGAGTTCATTTGTGATCAAACTGACTTGATTTTATTCAATTCCGCAGGTTCTCTCAGTCCTCACATCTCCAGGAGGAAAATGATCCCCCAGAGCAGCTCTCTGCAGCTCTCCTCGAAGCAGACTCTGCTCGTGCCTCAGTTTCCCAAGGTTTTTTGCCACCGTCCCCCCAGGCCTCCGAGAGCAGAACCGTTAGGAAGGTGCTGAGTGATTATTATTGCATTATTCCAGGCAAGTGCTATAAATACCCAGGGGCACCTTTAGACACAACCCAGCTGCCCAGGGGAGCTGGCTCAGCCCCACTCTGCGCCCGCAGCGGCTCAGGAGGGGATCGAAGGCAGTGGCTGAGTGAGGAGGTACCCTGGGCACAACCTGATGGGGGACAGGGTTTGGGGCTGTGGGGTGACAGGGCTGGGACCCTCCTGKCTGCACCCTGGGCTCCAGTGGAGCTTGGGGCAGGGGGGATGCGGGTGCAGAAGGTGCCGGGATGCTGCAGGGAGACGCTAACAAGGAAGACAAGGGGAATATTTTACGGGGCTGCAATGTAAACAGAGCTGGAGCAGAGCCCCTTTTTATGGAGTCCCTGTCCTGCCAGGGCATCTGCCAAGGCCCTGATTTACGCTCCTATTTAGATAAGGGAGCCGGAGGGGGGGAGCTGAGCTGGCGTCAAAGTCACAGGACACCCGGGGCTGCCGCTGGCTGGGCGCTGATAAGGAGGTGGCTCAGGGGCCGGGGCCAAAACCTCAGCTCCCGTCCCAGAAATGGGGATGGAGGCAGAGCCTGGTGGCTCCTGCTGGCTTTGGGGTGCTGGGGTTCACAGACACCTGGGATAACCCCACTCCCAACACACAGCATTGGCCCCCTCATCATCACCTGGCCGAGAAGGCAGGAAATTTTTCTCTGGGAAGGATTTGAAGGAAAACAGGTGGAGAGAAAYGTGGTTCCTCTTGCCATGCCAGCTGTAAATCCAAATTGCTCGGCGTTTTCTCCCCCATGCGATTGGGAAGATATGAAATTAAAGAAACTCACCAAAAGTTTGAGAAGTGCTAAATTTGGACGCCATGACAAAGGCAGTCTGGTTTGATTTAGAAAGTGTCGGCACGAAAAGGGSTCTGGTTTTATTATTTTATTAAAACACGAAAGATTAGAATGATTTTCCAAAGGAAAATCAACCCTCTGGTCCYGCTATTTGCTCAKCTGAGCACTTCCAAACTCTGCTGGGTCCAAGGACCTCCATCAGGGGGTGGATTAAGCAAGATAATGCCCRGGTTTGGGCTGGACTTACCTGGCTCGGCAGCTGGAGGTGACTCTGGTGTGCAGCTCGAGGTGACAGCTCCCAGCTGGATGTGGCTGTAAGTGGCCTGTGCCATGCAGGGATATGGGGATGAAAGGGGTGTTTTTGAGGGGTATTTTTGTTTCTAGAGATGGGGTTCAGTGGCATGGGCTTTAACCTGGCAGTTTGTAGGATTGGGGAGAAGCTCAGTGAGGGTGTGTTGTAAGGGGGAGCAGAGCTCCACGGGTGATGCTCTGGCAGCATAGAGGGGCTGAGGTATGAAGTGGGACCCCCGAACTTCTCCCAGGTGGGCACTGGCTCCCACCAGCTCTGATCCGGGCTCGGGGATCCCACCCAACCACGGCTGCTTTGAAGGAAATCGGGGACACGACGCCCTACCCAAGGCCCGGCTCTAACAGGACAGTAATCACTAGCAAATGTTTGCAGGGCGCTTGTTTAAAGGGGGTGGGGAAGGGGGGTCTTTGCAGCAGCTGAGAACAAAGCAGGGGGGAACAAAGCTGGGCAGATCCGGCACGGCAGAAACCGAGACCCGCTCGCACCCTGCCCCGGCCCCCCCAGCCTCCTGCCTCTGCGACTCGCCTTGTAACAGCTAACGATGGAAAATCCGAGCCATTTAAGTGGCTCCCGAATCCGCCCGGGAACCGTGATTGAGAGAAGTCAAATAAAATTTGTCATCTTTAAAATGCAGGAGGACGTTAATGGTGTGTTAGCCCGGATGATTAATACAAGCGCCTGCAAACAACCCTCCAACGTTTCCACCCTCCGCTGCAAGATGAATCGCTGGAAAGCGCCGTTAATCGCTAACATACCTCGGGCCCAAAGCCCCTTCCTGCCCCGCCGTGCTGTGATCACCACTGCCGTGCCCAGCCTGTCCTCGCTGGGACTCACTGGAGATACAGCAGGGGTCGGTCCCAGTGACCTGACAGCGCTGGGGATGAAGCCGGGGCTCTGGGAAACATCCTCCTGGGGATCTGTCTCCCATGGGTGCGGAGGAGAGCAGGATGTGCTGACTGCTTCAGGGCCCCACGCTGGGCTTGGGTTTGGGGCACTGGTGAAGTACAAGRTCCCAACCCCAGCWGATTCCCAGACTGGGACAGAGAGASGCAGGGCAGGTCCYCACCTCCCTATTRTAAATAAGTTTTTGTGCATGGATAGTATAATTTTGATATATTTATGTATCTATGCACTCTGCGTGTGCAGCACACACATAAGCCATGCGTTTGATAGGTTTGTGTGTGCCACACGTGTGTGTGTGTGTGTGCGTGTGTGTGTGTGTAACATACTTATGTGGCACTGTGTGTGCAGCACACCCCTGCTGCTGCCGTACATGGGTGAATGTGTGTGACATGTTTGTGGGGTGTGTGTGTGACACAGGGAGTGGTGTGGTGTGGCGTGGCGTAGCGTGGCATGGCATGGTGTGTTGTGACATGGTGTGCTGTGCTGTGATGTGCTGTGAGCAGCATTTTATGGTGCCTGTGGGCAGCGTGTGCAGCACACGGGTGTGAGCAGAGCGTGTGGTGTAACCAGCACACATGCAGTGGAGATTCGTGCAGCGTGCATTGCTGTACATGTGTGTGCTCTACATTCGTGTGCTGTACACGTGTGCAGTGCGGATTCGTGCAGCGTGCATTGCTGTACATGTGTGTGCTCTACATTCGTGTGCTGTACACGTGTGCAGTGCGGTGTAACCAACACACGTGCAGTGGGGATTCGTGCAGCGTGCATTGCTGTACACTCGTGTGCTGTACACGCATGCAGTGCACACCCGTGTGCAGCTGTGCAGCGCATGGAGCAGGCGTGGGGCAGGATCCCCATGTGCAGGGAGGGTGCCCACTCCAGGAGTACCCGGCCCAGCTTCAGTCTGATGCCTTTGGCCCCTCTTGTCCCCGTTCCCCGTTCCCCGGCTCCAAACGCCGCCCCGATCACCCCTCGCTGCCCGCYGGCCCCGCCGCTCCCCTCGCTCCGTTCGCACGGACCCGAGCCTGCCCCGCGGGGATCTCGGCGTTGGGAAAGGAGAAGTCCCCGTGTCACTGCGGTCCCGGAGCGCGCACACGGCCCGGCTCTGCCCCGCCGTCGGGGGTCCGGACACCCGCGGCTCCTCGGCGAGGATCGAAGCGCTCCGGGCCGGGGGCTGGGGTGCCCCTCGGGTCTTCCTCACCCCCTTGTCCCTGAGAGCAAGGAGCAGGCGGGACAGAGGGCAAGTGGCGGAGGTGTGAGCCCAAAGCCCTGATCCCGGAGCACGGCTCACGCCCCCTCCGCCGCCCCGCTCCCCCCGGGGCCCCCGCGCATCCTCCCCTGCCCATTGGCTCCACGGCGGGGGGGCCGCGGCCCTATATAAAGGCAGGGTCGGGAGACTCCAGAAGGGGTTAAAAAAACCCCAAACAACTAACCCAAATCCCCRAAGCCCACAGCCGCCTCCGCCACCGCAGCCCCGCGCCGGAGCAGCGCTCCCCGCAGCCCGCCGAGCCCGCCCGGCGGGGAGCGCCTCCCGCCCGGCCATGGAGCGCTGCTGAGCGGCCCCCGGGGCCAGCGGAGCGGATCATGAACCTGGTGGGGGGCTACCAGCATCACCACCACCACCACCATCACCACCACATGCTGCACGACCCTTTCCTCTTCGGGCCGGCGGCGCGGTGCCACCAGGAGCGCGCCTACTTCCCCGGCTGGGTGCTCAACCCGGCCGAGGGGACCCCCGAGCTCGCCGGGCAGAGCCCGAACTACGGCCCCGCCGAGTACGGCCCGGCCGGCCCGGGGCGCCTGGAGGCTCTCAGCGGCCGCCTGGGACGGAGAAAAGGTGTCGGGGGACCCAAGAARGAGCGGCGGAGGACGGAGAGCATCAACAGCGCCTTCGCCGARCTCCGCGAGTGCATCCCCAACGTGCCCGCCGACACCAAGCTGTCCAAGATCAAGACCCTGCGCCTGGCCACCAGCTACATCGCCTACCTGATGGAGGTACTGGCCAAGGACAGCCAGCCCGGGGACACCGAGGGCTTCAAAGCCGAACTCAAGAAGGCGGACGGCAGGGAGAACAAGAGGAAAAGGGAGACGGTAAGAGGCGGATCGGGACCCGCGTCCTTGCTCTCCGTGGGCCGGCAGCGGGCGGGAAAAAAAGCCGGGTCTATGGGGGGAAAAACCTCCAAACTCTCCTGGCCTCGCTGGAGCCTTTTTTCCTAATTTTTTTTTTTTTACACTGCAGCGTAATAGTAATAGTAATAATAATAATAATAATAATAATTTTAAAATCTATGGAAAGAAACTCGGTGGAGAATAGTCTGCCCGAGTTGCCCGGAGGGCTCCCGACGGCCTGGGAGTTTTTCCGAGCACTGTCCGTGATGGATCAGCCCCCGGGACCGGGGCTGGCCGGTCTGTTCTCCCCCGGTCTGTCCTTCACCTCTCCCGGGCGCTCTCCCMGGACGAGTGGACGCAGGAACTTTTCGGTGCAAGGGCGGCCGCTTCTCCCCGCGCTGCAGCGGGCGGGTGGTGGGGTGGGGACCCCAAAAGCTCCTCTTTGTCCTCGGGCTGGCAAAGCCGCTCGGAGCTGCCGGGCCCGGCTGCAGCCCTGCGGCGGGCGAAAGGGGCGGGCGGGCGACCCGGACCCCGCTCCGTTCCTGACCGCTCCTTTCTCCCTCCTRTCCCCGTCTCCTCTCCCGCAGCAGCCCGAGGTCTACTCGCAGCCTCTGGGTCACGGCGAGAAGAAGCTGAAGGGCCGGACGGGTTGGCCCCAGCAGGTCTGGGCTCTGGAACTGAACCCCTGAGAGCTGCCCCGCCGCCCCTCCATGTGCAATGTCGGAGAGAGCCCAGCCCGGCCCCGGAGCCCATCCAGGCGCAGGATGCGGGGAGCCGGCCCGGCTGCCCCCCGCCCGGAGGGATGCTCCGCGGGAGAAAGGCGAGAGCTCTTTACGGGCTCGGGTCCTGCCCGCCCCGTCGGCAGCGGGACCAGCCGGGCCCTTTCCCCCTGTCCCCTTCCCGCATTTGCAGTAATCGTTGCTCCTTCCCGCTGCCAGCAGCGATCGGCGGCTCCTGCCCTGCCGGACCGGCCGGTTCGATTCGTTTGCTGTTGTAAATAGAGCCCCCCGTCCCCTCTCCCCGTCCGCTGCCTGACCGACGTGTGGCTGCGGTGAAACTACCTAGAGGTGCATTTGGGAACACTCCTGTGCCGGGTTTTCTACCTCAGATCTGCATGACCACTTCCCGAGGGACCGAGCKCGCCACACCACGTATTTAAAACTGAATAGCTAAAGAAAAAAAAATTAATAAAATAAAATTTAAACTTTATGCAAATAGCCTCGGTTCCGAGCCCTCTGCTTTCTCCTGCTCTGGCAATCGCGCTGCTCTGGCCGGATCCTCTGTGATGGGAATGTTGCGGGATTCAGGACATCCCTGAAGTCAGTACTCTGCTGTGGGGCCGATCCGTGTGAGGGAATTCCTCCCTGCGGCGCTCGGGATCCTTTGAGGTTTGTTCATGCCGTGTTCTCACCGCTGGTAGAGCCCTGCAAAGGTGTACCCGCAGCCTACCCCGGGGCACGAACTCTGCCCCTGCCCTACAACCCCTTCCCTCCCAGCCCGGGAGAGCTGCTAGAGAGACTGCACTCTATTTGTCTTGGGGAAGGATGGCGGGACCAGGCCTTCCCAGGGTGTGGATGGCACCGTAGAGCTCTGGAGCCCCAGAGCTGCCACGCAGAAAACTGGGGCTCGGTTCCCCTGTCCGGCCAGGACAGCTCGCTCGGCTCTGGCACCGGCAGCACTTTCTCACTGGGATCCCCTGTTAGGCACTGCCTCGGCCACATTTTGAAGGAGCAGCGTCCCCTCCTCGCCATCTGAACACGGTGGATGCCACCAGCCCCAGACACAGCAAGGCTCGCGCAGCCCAAAGTCTTCTCTGTCACCACTCAGGCATAAATCCTTAAYAATCCTTAGTAATTAAAGCCAAATCTTCATTCCTTTATACTGTTCACACATGGTGCTCTCTCCTAAAAGTTCCAAGACATCCGTGCACGGGCTCAGAGCCTGATCCTGCCTTCCCAGCCTGGCCACGCTGTGCTTCCCAGGATAAATCCTGACACTCGGGCGGCTGCTTGGGACAAAGAAAAACAGCCAGAGAAAAGTTGTACRTTATTCCAGGGCTAATCTGAGGGCTCAGCAGGGACATTTACGTTTTCTCTTTAAAACAAAGCTTTTGATTGCGACCAAAGATATAGAAATAATGATGCAACGTCTGTGAAATACTGACAATTTGATCAATCTGTGATTGTGCAGCCCCACACACCAAAAATACCCCAGCTCACCCGTGGGGAAGCAGTTTGGGTTTTATAACCACTTTGTGGATGGGTGCAAATGCAGACGGAGGGACACGCAAACATTGGGGGGYACAGTAAGTGTAATTAAATCTCGATGAAGAAGGATCCGGCTGTGTGAAACAGCTTTCCCTGACTCTGGATCTGCTTCACGGCTGCCTTCCCTGCCCCTGATCTATTTTCTGATCTCTTTGAGTGAGGCTGTGATGAAAACTGCCTGAGAAGAGCAATGCCTGCCTGCAATGGCACATTTTTTGAGCTGTAAGAAGTTTAATATGATACCAATTCCATGAATGAAGTAGAGTAGGGCATTACCAAAACCAAATCCATTCAAGAAACCAAATCCATTCAAGGAGAAAAAAAAAAAAAAAGAAAAAGAAAAAGTACAGAAAGCCAGCCCCAAATGTACTATTTCATGTCTAAGTTTCACGGTCTCCTAAAGGGTTGGGTTTTCATGGGAAAGCTCCCAAGCTGTCACTAACAGCACCCCATAAATGTGTCCAGCCCCGGTCCTGCTTAAACGTGCCAGCCGGTATCCCTGCATCCATACAGCTCCAATCGGGGCTGCCCTTCGGCATCTKATGAGGGAAAGGGTTAAATGGGCACTTCGGACTTGCTCTGCTGTGAGGCAAATCTGACTCTGCCCTGAATCATGTCCTCGGTGCCGGCACACAGCAAGGGCGCCCTGCAGAGCCGGGGCGATGTTCTGCCTGCATCTGCGGGATTTTTGCATTTCTTACCACGGCTTTCTGGTGGTGGTACCTGCTGGCTGCAAACTTCTGCGGAAAGTGTCCCCAGTGCCAGCCTCCCCTGTTCCTTCGGGATTTTGCAAAGGAAACCGCTCTCCGTTTCCACGGCTGCACGGGATTTCCATGCCTAGCAAGGGGGTTTCCCTGAGTTTCCCTGGCTCAGCATTTGGGGGTAGAGTGGGTTAAAAAACCCTACTAAGCATTTCCCGTGGTCTCGGGCTTCCCCGCTCCCCAAAATACTTTGGAAGAGCTGTATTTGCAAGCAGCGAGCTCCGTCCCCAGCTCGGCACGGTTTAGGCGGCTCCGCCGCTCCGGAGCCGGGAAAGGGAATCGAGGATCCAGCTCAGGGCTCGTTCCAGCCTGGGATGGGGTCACCGCCTTCACCCCCAGAGGGAGAGGAGCTGAACGGGGACGGGAGCCCTGCAGAAGGACAGCCTCCCTTCCTCCGGCAGCGAACACGGCTGGGAGCGGCGTCCCGGCAGCCTCCGGCAGGCAGCGGCAGAGCTCCGGGCTCTCCAGAAATGACTGTCAGAACGGTTTGGCCACCAGCTTTGAGTTTTTGGCTATCAAAAAGCTTAACTCATCGGTCAGGGGACATGGCCCTGCACATACCTTCGGCTCGACCCTGCCGTGAACTTGATGCCGTTGGGAAGCAGCCGGCTCCGGGCACGCAGGCTGCGGCCGGCAGTTGCCCAGGCAGAGGAACGCGCACGCAGGGATCGCTTGGCCCCGGGGCAGCATCTTACGTGCCAAGTTCCCTGCCGCTGGATTCCAGCCTCGAGGGACCGTGCAGGGGACCCTCTGCCAGCCCTGCTTGGCCCCTGGCTCCCGGTCTGCCCAAGGGGGCCAGTGCTGTGGGCAAAGAGGCTGGTGAGAATTTCCCACCCCTCGCTCTGCACCCCGGGTTTGTGGTGCAAAGGAATGGCTCTTTTTTTTGCCTCTTTCCCCTTCCTCCTTTCCTGCCAAGCCCAGACCCTGCTTCTTGTTGTTGTAGGTATTTATGGGCCTGTTTATCTGATCTCGGGGGAGCCTATTCTTATCTCAGAAGCAGCAAGRGAAGGGTTACGCTGGACAGCTCGGTAGACAGGATGGAGCCAAATAAAATACCAATCTGACAAAAAAAAAAAAAAAAAGGGGGAGAAAGAAACACCCAGACCCAGCCACACGATCACCCATGAGCACTGTCCAGGCTGTAGGGTGGATTTGCCAGCTCCCAAAACAGCTGTGGGGTTCAGGCAGACAGCACAACCCTGGGCAAGAAATGCCCAGGGACAGAGCAGAGGAGAGGGTGATGTAATAACGCTGAAAGATGGGAAAAAAAATAAACTTTAGAAGTTTCAGTTCGCTTGTTACAGCAATTCAGCTGTGATGCTGCTGTTCCGTGTTTCCTTGGGCGGAACACAGAAATGTCCCAGCTCGGAATGAGAGGCACAGGCAGTCCCCAGCCCTGGCAGGGACTCACTCGAGGTCGTCCCGAAGGTCACGGCCAGGGCCAGGGCTGCTGCCTCCCGTCACGGGGCCCCTCTGGGCCGGCCCCAGCCGGTGACACAGGGGGCAGGGCAGCCCCCAGCCCGGACACCTCTGCCTGGCCTCCCCGGAGCCCAAGGGTGCAGCAGGGCTGGGCCAGAGTGGGACGGGACAGAATGGGAGAGGATGGGATGGGGCTGGATGGGATTGTCCCTCCTGCCATGGCGAACAGGGGGCCAGGGCCATGCCAGGGGTACCCCCAGTCCGTGCCCCCTCCCCACCCCACGCCCCACTAATTACTGCTCTTAAGGAAGCGCCTGGCASTTGTGGCCATTTAAGGTAGCCCCAGCCCCGCTGACTAAGGGTAATTGGGCCATAATTTGTTTTCGGTGTCAAGATGGCGTCAAAGATAAGACAAAAATCTCCAGRTTTGGGGGCTAAAGAGACAGGAGAAATCCTGACCCGGGGCCGACCTCGGAGGAATGGCCACAAGCCCCAGTGAGTCACATGGCAGGTGAAAGATTTACTGCCAGGGGAGCTTTTTGATCCTCTCCCAGCACTCGGAGCCTCTCAGCCCAGTTGCTGGCTCCTAAGTCAGACTGTCTCCTGGGAGCACTGCTCAGGTGGGAAGGTTTTCTGCCCAACCAAGGCCCCGCCCAGCTGCAAAGTTCATGACATGCAACAGTTCTTCCCCAAATCTCCATGCTCCTGGAGTCACGTGATATTGAGACCCATCTAAAGAGAAGATGCATTTCCAATCCATACCTGCAAAAATGATGTCCAAGCACGGGAAGACTCTGCAGCCACAATGAAGATGAAAACTAACTGGTTTTGCTTTCTTGCTTTTATTTTCTAACCCAAATCCAAACTCTCTGGATTTTCACTGGGGATTCATTGGTGAGAGGTGAGTGAGAGGGAGTTGCCTTAGAGCAGAGGAATTGCAAAGCACAGGCACACATTTGGAGGCTTGCTGAGCTTTTGTGACAGATCCCCAAGGCAGGGAAGGCCCTTCTTGCTTTTCCCTTTTGCCCTGCTGCTTCTTTTGTGTGAGAAATTCAGGTCCCGACCACCCTGAAAAGCTTTACAGTAACCAGAGAAGTAGGGGAATTTATGGCATCACCAGCAGCTGAAAGCTGAGGGATTGAGAGGAAAAGTTTTTTTTTCCTAAAACTGCAGCTACCTTGACAAAATTTTCATGGCCTGTGACTGACCTGCAGGAGCAGCAAAGGGGAAAACAGGGGCCAG